AAATAACATCGTAATTTTCGTTATTATCTACTACCTCGAAGACTTTCCTAAAAAACGTCAGCAGATTTGTTAGACAAGATTTTCCCTTTGTAAACCCATGTTGAGAGTCGTAGATTAATTTGCTTTTCTCTAGATGCGATCGGGTGCTATCTGCTATATTTGATTCAAGAAATTTCCCCACTACTGAGGGTCAAACTGATCCGCCGGTAATTTGACGCTGATGCTCTGTCTCCCTTTTTGAATATTGGTACTACATTTGCCTGTTTCCACAAGTCTGGCACAACTCTGGTGTCTAATGATTTTGTAAATAAGTTTACGAGCTGTCCGCTAATCTGTTCCCTACACTCTTTCAAGACTCGAGGGAAAATTTCATCCTGCCCTGGGGATTTTGTTTTCTTTAGTTTATTTATCTTCTTAAGAACATCCTCTTTTCTGGTAGTGATATTCTTTAATTTCTCTTCTTCCTTTCCCTTAAATATCAGTTCCACCTCTGGAATTTCATCTCAAATTTCTTCTGTGAAAACTGATAAGAAGTAGCTGTTCAATGCTTTGCTTATTTCTTCACTGCCATTTATCACTTCTCCCCTCCCTGACTTTAAAGGCCCAACTTTGTCCTTGACCTTTGTCCTATATACCTGGAAAAATCCCTTGGGATTCGCCTTGGATTCTCTTGCTATTTTGATTTCATAGTCTCTCTTTGCTTTCCTTACATTTTTCTTAGCATTCCTAGATAGTTCATTATACCTATTTCTGAACTGCTCCTCCCCTCCCTTTAATTTCTTATATATTCCTTTCTTTATTTCTATATCATGTTTAAGTTTTCTGGTCATCCACCTTGGCTCATTCTTATTTGACCTAATTTTTCTGTATGGTATATTTTGTTCTTGTGCTTTATGTAGTATACTAGTGAATATATTATAGTCATGATCAATTGTTGTGTCATCTATGACCTCACCCCTTCCTACTGGGGACTGACGTGACTGTTCCCAGGTAACCTCACCTAGGTACCTTCTTAACCCCTGATAATCCGCCAACCGAAAGTTTGGGACTCTGACCATATTGTCATTGTTTTTTGTTTCCCAATTTAGGGTGAACCTGATTTCTCTGTGATCACTGTTACCTAGTTCTTCCCCTACTGTGATATCTCTGATAATATTTTCTTTATTTGTTAATACTAGGTCTAATATATTGTCAACTCTAGTAGGTTCTGTAATTAGTTGTTTCAAAAAATTGTCCTGTACTGCGTCTAGGAAGTCTTCAGATTCATAGTCACCTACAATGTTGTCCTAGTCAATATTTCTGAAGTTGAAATCCCCCATAATGCACAGGTTTTTATATTTTGCTGCCCTACTCATTTCCTGCCATATAGGCTGAGCTGCTTCTTTCCCAAGACTTGGGGGCCTGTAAATCACTCCCATAATTAGTTTTTCTCTTCCTTCCGTGATTTCTACCCATACAGACTCGGTTCCTATTTCACCCTTTATTGAATTATTGATACAACATTTTAATGTACCCTTGACGAAGAGTGCGACCCCTCCCCCCTTCTTACCTTCCCTGTCCTTGTGAAAAAGGTTGTACCCTTCTATGTGGTACTCTGATAAAAAAATTTTGCTCGCCAGATTCATCCAAGTTTCGGTGATTGCTATGACGTCTACATTCTCGGTACATACAACCGCTCTCAGCAAGTCTATTTTATTTCTAACCCTCCTACTCTTTGTATAGTATACATTTAAACCTACCCTTCCCTGGTCCTGTTTTACCCCATGTCCTGAGTAACTAATTTTACTTCCCAGGACCTACTTGTTTTTTGACTCCCACTTTCCCCGACCTCTCTCTACTGGCGAAACCCCCCCTTTGGAGTGACAATTTCACGCTCCAGGGATGCAGACAACGTCTTTACCCCCTCACGAGACAAGTGTACTCCGTCCTCACGAGTCAAGTGTATATATATATATATATATATATATATATATATATATATATATATATATATATATATATATATATATATATATATATATATAAACATCCAGTATAGTACTTGAGGTATAGAGAGCTCTGGCTCTCAACTGGCTCTGCCATGTTAATATTGTTATTATTATCGACTCTGTATCTGTATTTTGTCTGGCTAAATAAACTGTTTCAACCAATCAAAAAGGTGTTGGGAAAGAAATGAATCTTTAATGATACCCTTCAGCATGTGAGGTGAGATTTACCCAGTCTCTTGCCGCGTTAATAAAATCTCTCTTGACGAGGGCTTGTGGTCTGGAAGCTGTCTGGATGACTATGGAGATCTGCTGCCCCCCAACCTCCCTCACGCTGAGTCAGCCCTATAGCACACACCTACTATCAGTTTGCTTTTATTTTGAATTGTCACACTTATGAGCTCTATGGTTTTTTTGTTTTGCGAATTGTCTGGTGGGGAATTGCGTATACATTGTTGTACAGTACAGTACTCCGTTAATTGCTTGAGGTTCTGTGCCTTCTTCAAGACATCCCTTCTGTACAGTACTTGTGTTTAGGGATGGTGATCTTCACAGACTGCACTGTACGTTTATTAATCTTTACACATTGGGATGTGCAACTCGTTTTCAAAGTCGAATACATATCTCAGCATCCATCTGACTGCTTGATCGTTTGTCCCACCCCCCTTCCTCTCCAGGTTCTTTATAATTTGATTGTCCTTGCGTTTGTTCATCTAATTGTTGTTTCATCTCATCTTAAAGAGATTTTGAGTTACGTAGCCCGTGTCACTCTATCAGTCTGAACCACTGTGAGTGATGATTTACCCATAATGTCTCAAGTTGTTTAATCTTCCTTAACCTTTTTCCTACATCTCGCTCAAAGAAACATGTCATGCTTGTTGTCAGAACCTGAGATTCATTTACTCTGCCTTACAGCGTTGACATATAAGGATCCCTCATTTGCTGTCTGAAGGCTCATTGCGGGAACCATGCAAGTTCGTCGAGTCACTTTGTTCGTATTGCCTTAACTATCGTGTGTAGCATGCCGACCGATACTTGGTCTCGCCGCAGCGGGTATTATGATTGCTGCAGCTTATAGTTAATGTCTGTGCTTGTGTCACCCGACTCTATAGCTTTCTTGGGAGAGGGAAACTATTTTCTCTGAGTTAAGATTTTTATACGGCTACTGGGTATAAATAGGCTTAGTCTTAAATATAGTGACTTATCTGTTCCAACAATGGTAGAGGTGCTGTAGGGGGTTCTGGGCTTCTGGTGGGGGTGCAGGGTGTCAGATGGCTCTGTTTTGGTCCTCTGCTTACGCCGTCGAGTGTCTGAATATATAGTTTAATGAGTGAAGTTTGTTTAAGTGCTATCGATCTCTTAGCATTTATGTACTGTATGTATGCAAAGACTACGCTCCATTCCTTTAAATCATCTCTTAAAAAATATCTAGTGTCTAAGTATTAATATTTCTTGTAACACCTACTATATTTACAGTACCTGCTATTATTGTACCATCAAAACCGTTTTATCGGAAATTATCATGTAAATAGATAAGAAATTACCATTGCAATAAACATAATTGCCAACTAGACATAATCCTGACAGCTCTGTCCTCTTGTTCCACCTTAATACTGTATCACCCAGGTTGTACTGCTCCCCCATTATACTTATGTTTTTCAATTCCACTGTAATTTATTTATATACGTATAATATAAATAAAAAATAAATAAATAAATAATAAATAAATAAAATAAATATATATTGAAGTGATAACCGTGGTAACATTATGAGATGATCTTATTACCACCATGCTATTGTACTATTCCAGATGTTACTAAATGTTGCATAATACTTCCTTGAGATAAATGTATAGTATATATCAGGTGCCTCAAAGAGAGCTCAGGTTCTCAACTGGCTCAGCCATGTTAATATTGTTATTATTATCCACCCTGTATCTGTGTTTTTCTGGCTAAATAAACTGTTTCAATTCAATTCAATTGTATATGTATGTATGTATGTATGTATGTATGTATGTATGTATGTATGTATGTATGTATGTATGTATGTATGTGTGTGTGTATGTATGTATGTATGTATGTACGTGTGTATGTATGTATGTATTGTATGTATGTATGTATGTATGAAGAAGGTCTTAAAATACTCAGCTATGCCTTTCTTTATTAAGTGCTGAAATACAGTTAAGCATAATGGAGACAGACAGACAGATAGACATAAAAATAATCTTAAAACTGTTGGTAACGCTGGGTTGGTGACACGATTGGTAACACTGGCTTGGTGACTGATAACTTGAGCTGCCTTGATGACGTGGATTGGTGATGCTTCTCTTGGTGATCTAATTCCATGATCTGTGTGACCTGATGGCGTGAGCTGGCAACGCTGTCTTGGTGATTTGGCTCTGGTTGGGCTTGGCGACGTAAGTTGGTAATGTTATTAACACTGGTTTGGTGACGTGCTCTAGTAATGCAGCTTGGTGAAGATGTTAGTAACGCTGTCTTGGTTAAATGGTTGGTAACGTTGTCTTGGTGATGTAGGCCTGTATCAGATGCCACGACGATAGCTTTGCCCAGCAACCGACGTGACTAAGCCCATATTTTTTTTTTTTATCTTCTTCACCAAATGATCGGCTCGTTAGCCGCTTGGGCGATCGGTCACGTCTCTGTTACGCGCTCTTGGCAAGTACTGGGCATGCACCGGCTCCTGAATGTACCTGAACCCGCTCCAGTGTTGGTCAAGTCTTGTCTTGAAAGAGCTCACACTCGGTGCAGTCACAACACTTTCTGGTAGATTGTTCCAAGAGTTCACAACCCTCACTCCGAAAAAGTTTGCCCTCACAGTTATCTGGACTTACGGCTTCTTCAATCTTGAGCTGTGACCCCTTCTGGTGCGAGCGTCCGCCAGCTCCAAGTAAGGACACTCGACTGAGTAGTGCCCCTTGAGATGTTTGTACACCTCAATTAGGTCACCCCTTGCCTGTCTGTAGTATAAGCTAGGCAAGTTCAGGCGCTCCAATCTCTCAGGGTAGCTGAGGTGCCGAAGTGCAGGCACCAGTCTGGTGGCCCTCCTTTGAACATTTTCGACCAACTGACAGTCCCTAGCATTGCTCGGGGACCAGAGAAAAGAAGACCAGAAGAATCTTTGGGAAAAAAAACGGGCTCTGATTTGACACGCAGAATATGTTCTCGGCAGCTGGTGAGCAGTGTTGGAATTACAGGCAGTTTAGCATTGGGTGTGATATAGTGAGGCGGTTTTCTGGATGGGCCTGCGGCGTATGGTACTGAGGCGTGGTAACGTGTATTTAATGATTTTCCTGTAGTCGTGCGGGTGTATATAGTGAGTCCTCCCCCCTCCACGGTATCTCTAGTTAGAAATATGACGAACACATATGACTTCATATAACGTCTTTGTTAAATAAATTTAACTTGAAAGATATCTCTTTCCATTCCCTTCCTAACTAATACATTAACCTAAACAAAATGGATCCCTCAGTAACAGATGGATGGATACAATAGGATATAGAGTCAAGTGACCCACCTTTAATTAACTCCAGTCAAGTGGTTAACAATGCTGAGTGAGTGACGTGATCTGGTGACGTGAATTGGTAACACTGATTTAGCGAAGTATTGTTCATTGAAGTCTGAACTGGTTGTCCTATCAACTGCTGGTGTTTGAGAGAGAGACAGAGAGAGAGAGAGAGAGAGAGAGAAAGAGAGAGAGAGAGAGAGAGAGAGAGAGAGAGAGAGAGAGAGAGAGATTCAGTAATATCTTATGAGAAACTCTAGTAATAAGGTCAAGGCAGCGGCGGTCAGTCCCAACACCCACAGTATGAAGGCGCCCTGTAGTTGCTTCACCTTCAGCTGCCCTCCTCCACTCGCCTGTCAACAACAACAAAACACTCACAGCCATTTTATTGTCACTAGGACGGCAAAAGCGATTTTAAAAAGAGAATGATATTGTTTTTATGAGGTAAAATAGTTAGTGTTGACATGTTTACAGTTGGAGTGATAGTTTAGGGGTTGAGGAGAGATCGTTTACCTGTAGGTGGAGGTTGGGGGTTAACTGTAACTAGGAAACTCCCACCCTTTCACTCAGTAAATCATTTCGTAATTTCAACCATTATCGATTCATTATCTAGAACACGTGAGTGTTTCACACACACACACACACACACACACGTTCCAATACAGAATGCACAGTACCAGCAGTGAGTGATGTACCGTACCTGTGTGTCATGATGACTGGTGGACTGAAGGTTGTCACCATAAATAAATTTGTATCGTTTTGTCAATCATTAGTTATATAGTTTTGTCGATTGTGTGAAAGAAATAACTCGAATGACATTCATTCGATTATGAACGAAGTGTCATATGTGTCACCAGTGTCCAGGTCAACAAGACCACAATCCTTAATCGAGTTACGACCCACTGCTATCACCCCAATACCCAGCCTAATCTGCGAAAGTTTCGTGTTTGACTGGGCTTATGCTGACATTGCAGGCGACACAGATCCTCAGCAATTCGGCAACATGAAAATTTCTTCCACCACCAGGAAACAGCGTGGTGGTGGGACGTGTGTCTGGTGAGCTCCGTGTTTTTCGTCGAAAAACAGGGGCATTTCAGGAGTACCCAGTCTGATTTCTAGAACATCCGATTTGTGAGTGACTAGTGAGTGACCTGACCAGCACAATATCTATCTGTGATCCTCCTAAGTAGATATATTTGTCAATTTACTGGTGAACCTGTGACTCTGTGTCTCTGTGATTTCCCTCAGTGCCACGGCTTGTAATCCGAGCTCTTGTCTACCCCACCGCCCTCTTCCCTTGCCGTCCCACCAGGCCGGCCACCCCAGCTGACCACACAGCTTGATCGACTCTCCACTGCCACCTACACTCCCTTCACTAGCTCCGATATGTCTAGGTTGGCTGCTTGTGTCATACAGGACATCATACAACGAATGAATAAGGAGACCACCAGGAAACTAGAGGAAGCTGACCGGCGTCTCAATGACCAGCTAAATGAGATTACAAGAAGCTTGGATTTCTCGCAAGGGGAAATAAGTGACTTAAAAAAAAAGTTAAACGTTGAAGCTAAGGAGAACTGAACACTCAGGACCCAAGTTTAACAGCTGAGCGAGGAGAGATCCAAGCTTAAAACGAAACTAGCGACAACAGCAGACCGGGTGGATTATGTGGACGGCATCGGGCGTCGAAACAACCTCAGGTTTGCCGGAGTCCCCGAAGATTTCCACGAGAACTGGGAGTCATCCCAGCACAAAATTTCACGTCTGCTGAATGAAAATTTTCAACTTCCTGAAGTCAAGTTTGCTCACTTATTACTACCTGTTCTCCTACACATTTGTAACTCCTCCTTCACTAGTGGTGTCTTTCCGAATAAATTGAAAGTTTATAAAGTTCACCCAGCTATAAAAAGTCTGGGGACAAAGGTCTTTTCAAGAATTACCGCCCCAAATCAGTCCTCCCAACCTTAAGTAAGATACTGGAGAAGCGAGCATGTAGCAGACTAGATTCCTTCTGCAATGTCAATAACATCCTTACAGACTCTCAGTTTTGATTTAGAGATAGAAGGTCAACTGAGAGTGCTCTGCCATCCTTTACTAATGACATCTTAAACGCCTTTGATGACAGTCAGTTCACAGTCGGTATATTCTTGGACCTCTCTAAAGTCTATGATTCTGTCAACCATACCATCCTCCTGTCAAAGCTTGAACATTACGGCGTTAGGGTGCTTATCACACAATTGGTTCACCTCATATCTTCTAATGGGAAACAGTTTGTCTGCTATAATAATCATCAATCTGACTCCTCACCAATTTTGTATGGCATCCCCCAAGGCTCCATTCTCGGCCCAGTACTGTTTTTGCTGTACATAAATGATATAGTCCACGCTAGCACACTCATAAAATAAAGATTATTTGCAGACGATAGTAATCTCTATGCCAGCAACTCAGATCTCCCTTCCCTGATGAGAACTATGAACACTGAGTTGACTAAAGTGAGGACCTGGGTAATGAGTAATAAACTGACCTTAAACATGGAAAAAACCCACTACACGATATTTCACAGAAGGAAAAACTTACCCCCAGATTTGGACCCCATGTACCTTGGTAATTCAGTCCTCAAAAGCGAACAAAATACTAAATTCCTCGGAGTTATTGTTGATGAGAAACTTAGCTGGAGAAACCACACACAAGCCATTCAGAGTTAAGTCGGTAAACCGTGCGGTATCATGTATCACACTCGTCAGTCACTCACTTTTACAGCAATGAACGAAATCTATTATGATCTTGTTTACCAACACCTGATACACTGTCACACACTATGGGGGGCCTCTGGCTCTTCAAAAACATAATCCCTGGTTACAGCACAAAAGAGAGTTATGCGGACAATGACTTGATAAAAAAAGTGATGACACAAATGAACAATTTGCTAAATTGAAAATGTTAAAATTCGAGGATATTAACACCTACTGCTGTGTCCTATTTGTTTACAAATCTGTCAATCAATTGATTGTCAACAATTATTTCCAGTTCCGGAATAAGCAGAAATACAAGTTAAGGCACCAAGAGTTACTAAGACCACCCCCCACGCACTCCTTTGTCCCAGACCTCCATAAAATATCACGGTGTGAAGGTGTGGAACAACTTACCCCCACCCATCGGAGTAAAGACTACGCTCCCTTCTTTTAAATCATCTCTCAAAAAATATCTATTGTCTAAGTATTAATATTTTTTGTAATACCTACTTTATATACCTGCCTTTATTGTACCACCAAAACCGTTTTATCATAAATTGCCATGTAGATAGGTAGAAATTACCATTGCAATAAATATATTTGCCAACTAGACATAATCCTGACAACTCTGTCCTCTTGTTCCACTCATGTTGCACTGCTTCCCTCATCATATTTATGTTTTTCAATTCCACTGTAAATCATGTATATTCTTTTAATATAAATGTAAAAATAATAATAATAATAATAAAATAGAATAAATAAATATCGAAGTGATAACCGTGGTAACATTATGAGATGATCTTATTACCACCATGCTATGTGTACTATTCCAGATGATGCTAAATGTTATATAATACGTCCTTGAGATAAATGTACAGTATATATCAGGTGCCTTCAAGAGAGCTCAGACTCTCAACTGGCTCAGCCATGTTAATATTATGATTTTTTTAATTGACTGTATCTGTGTTCTTTTGGCTAAATAAACTGTTTCGATATCAATATCAATACCACCCACTGTCTCGTCAGGTTTCTTAATTTCATATACCGTAACCTAGCGAAACATAAGACCTCTGTGACTATCGCCTTCATTGATTTCACCAAGGCATTTGGCTAAGTCTACCACCGTTGATATCATGTTAACAACTCGACTCCCGACTACAGTTCCCTCCAGAATATATTGAACAGTCTCCAAATATGGACCAACACCATCCACGCCACCATCAACCATACCAAGACCATGGTTATGCACATCAACCTCTCCTCCGACCATGTCCCACCTCCCTCCATCACACTAGGCCCCAACACATTCCAGGTTGTGGATTTGACTTAGCTCCTCGGCGTCACTGTAGATAACAAACTGAACTGGCAAGCACACGTCAGTACAACCAGCAAACCTTCCTGCTATCGTCCCACATCTTTCGTCTCTTCAATTCCCCCATAGTTCCAGCTCCTAAATTCTTGGGTGTTTATACAACATTCATACTTCCTAAGTCCACCTATTCTTCCCCTGCCCGATCTTCTTCCTTAAATGCCACACAACAAGGGCGGAGTGCACAAGAGGACGCGCAAGATTATTCTCTCCCTCTATTATATCACATTTCAACTATCTCTGATCATAAACATGACCTCAACTGTAAGTTTAGGAAGAAGCTACTACACCATCATCAACTCATAGATAACCTGTCTGTTCACTCCTTGTCAATGTCATTTTTTGTACAGTAGTTGTGCTGAAATTCATTGTTAAATGACCCTCTCTCCCTTGTCATTATATATTGGACAGTACCACTAATGTCTTTTGTATATTTCCAGTTTATGAAAGCTGCATTTGTTAATTACCGATAATTATTATTATTATTATAATTAATAATAATAATAATAATAATAATAATATTATTATTATTATTATTATTATTACTTTTATTATTATTATTATTATTATTATTATTATTATTATTATTATTATTATTATTATTATTATTATTATTATTATTATTATTATTATTATTATTATTATTATTATTATTATTGTTGTTATTATTATTATTATTATTATTATTATTATTATTATTATTATTATTATTATTATTATACACAACATAAAAACACGTGCTCTCACATTCTGTCTCCCCTTTTCTCTCTCTCGGACACTGAATTCACACATACACAGCTGACACCCTACCTCACATTTCAATAAGCAGTTGACACTACTCAACACATCAACAAACAGTTTACAGTCACTCCTGCACTCACCGCTTTGTTCTTATCCTGTCGTTTGATTGTCGTACGTAGATGTTGAGAAAACAGGTGAGACAAGATGCCGGCCTCCCGCAGGTGCATCAGGGCGTGGGAGAAGAGGGGCGTGTAAGGCGTGTTGCGCGGAAGGAACCACACCAGCAGACTTGAGTAGATCTGGGTAGAGAGACGAGAAAGAGCTAAATAATGTCCCTATTTGTATAAACCATTATTTTGTAAACCATTATCTATCTACTAATTAGTTAGTCCAGAGACTCTAGAGTCTAGGCGCTGTCGATATGCAGGTAATGTTACTATCTCCAACCAGTTCAATATCACTTATTCAGCGCTCATGTCCGCTCGAGACGACAACTTTTTTACATTTTGCCCCGCGAGGGGGCTAGTTAATTGGGCACCCCCTTGCATCCTGCGCAAGGCGAAGCGCAAAAGCGTTTACAGCGCCCAACAGGGAAGCATGCGAAATTCATGCTTGCCCACTCGACTCATGCATTTAAGGCCGTAAGTGCCTATAGGGTCACAGATTTCACCAGCAAGCTACAGATAGTGACAGGTTGATTGTGTGGGGGGAGAATTCCCGATACAATACATGTGTTTATGGAAAGGCGTGGCAGTTTTAACAAACGTATGCTCCTGTGAAATCTGAGCGGTGTTTGCTCTCCAGCAGCCTCTGTATATAATTTTTACGAATATAAGAGACCATTTTTATATAGCAGTGGTGTCACTCAACATCCTCAAGTGGTATCACTCGACAGTCTACTGTCCTGGTACAGATACAGTTCACATTTTCGCTTCCCCCATTGTCCTGCAGTGTGGTTCCAGAATCAGCAAGACAATACAACAGTCGTATATATTTATATATATATTTTAATATGTATGTAATGTGCGTAATGCATGTATGTATGTATGTATGTATGTATGATGGCCTCCCACATGGTAGACCATCATTCATCATCTATCTAGGAGACCCATAACCCACCTGGGAGTTCATGATGTAGGAGACAGCCGTAAAGTTGTAGTGTTTCTGGAGGTAGAAGAGGTAGCTGGAGAACTCCAGGAAGGCGTAACCTCCAGCTTCCATCCTCTGGAAGATGTGGTCGTACATGGCATCTGAGTCGTAGGGCATCAGTTCTAGTTTGTGTCCTAGGGCTGCCAGGGCCGGGTGGGAGGAAGTCTTGAGGGCCCCTGGCACGAAGTTCCCGTAGTCAAGCATCATGACTCTGTCACCACCAGGGAGAGATTGTCACTCTGACCGCTAATGTGAGGTTGACACTCTTAATATAACTGACCACCAGTGTAATGTTGGCACGGTGACCGCCAGTGTAATGTTGGCAATGTGACCGACAGTGTAAGGTTGGCACTGTGACCGCCAGTGTAAGGTTGGCACTGTGACCGCCGGTGTAAGGTTAACACTATGACCATCAGCATAAGGTTGGCACTTTTAACTTAACCTCACCTAATCTGACCCTCCCTAACGTAACTTTGCCTAACATAAGCTATTTTCAATATAATCTAATGAAGATTTTACTTATCCTGACCTTACCTGACTTCGAGGAATTTTTCTACCAAGATTAATGCAAAGTAAATTTGATAACTTGGTACAATAATGATCGTTCTTCTAACGTGCACCTACTGACTGACCCACACAGGTGTATGTATGTATGTATGTATGTATGTATGTATGTATGTATGTATGTATGTATGTATGTATGTATGTATGTATGTATGTATGTATGTATGTATGTATGTATGTGTGTGTGTGCGTGCGTGTGTGTGTGTGTGTGTGTGTGTGTGTGTGTGTGTGCTCACCTGGTGGAATGTGCAGCCAGCTCCTCCACCGTCTGTATCGTCTTGGGGTAAACAGGAACGGTGAGGACGGCAATGAGGTTACTGGTGTAGGCGGACAACACGATGATGACTGACACCCACCACCACGCCAGCCACACTCGCGCCCATGACGCCCGCACCTCTCTCATGTCCACACTCTGATGCAGCAGCCCAGCCACCACCTGAAGGACACGTGATACACAGCGCCGCGTTACTACATCTCTACACAAAAGATTACTGACACTATTAGCGGGAAGCTGCTAACATTCTTCATACGGTGTGATGCTATTGTACTGTACTGAGAGCTCTCATAAACGTTATACTGTTACTATACACGGAATAACACCAAGCTGATGATTGAGACACGGATGGTAGTGGAGAACCTTTGCTTGTAGGTTACCTTGAGGGCGAAGCTGATTGGGTCGTGGAGGTGTTGGACGACGTGTAGCAAGAATACGAGGAGGATGACGACCAGCATGGTGGAGGCGAGGACGGCGACCCACATGGTGGTGGTGAAAGGGTACAACAGATTTTTCCATTGGGGTAGCGGCGGCGGCATACGATGGAGGAAGCTGAATCCCTCCGTCTGGTACGGATACGTGTAGTCGAACTCTCGCCTATTTTCTTCGTTCAGGAGCATAGCGTTCGGGGCGAGGTGTTTGCCCTCGTACATTAGACCAGCCATCAGCCCCACCCACGAGCCGTTCTCCTTAGAATCCCACCGCTCGTCAGCTGGCTTGTCCTGCACGTAGAAGGTGAAGTTGTATTTGTGGGATATAATAGTAAGGGCATCGATGTTCTCACCAGTACACTGGCCGTCCTTGTAGTAGAGGAAGGGAGTGTCGTCACACCACGACGACAGCTGTAATATAATCCCTCCGAAACTGTCGAACCTCGACGGAAAAATTGACTCTAAGGTGGTGGGCCTCTCAGGTCGCCAGGTTCCCAAAGGTGTCTTCACTAACTTCTTACCTCGTGAATTAACTTGCATGGGGAGGCTGGTGTAAGTCTTAAACGACAACTTCTCATTCACAGTCACCATTTGCAGCATCAAGATACGTTCCGACCGCTGTACTAGAGGCTGACTTATGACCCTCGTCGTGTTCACGTCATCATTCAAACAAAAGAGCACTAAATACTTGGGGTTCCACTCTTGGTTAGTTTGCAGAAGATCCAAGAATGTGTTTGGGTCGTTGTGGAAAACGAAGATGGTTGCGAGGAGCGGACCGCGGATGTGTGAGGTGGGATAGTGAATGTGGAGGAGGGAGTTAGATGTGCTGAACACTGAGGGAGGTGCCAGAGGTCCCAGGGAGGCCAGGATCCACCCAACATCCAGCAAGTTCTCCGCCTCATCGTCAGTGACCAGCAGCAATTGGTGTGATGATAGAGGACCCGCTACTAAGTCCCTCACTACCTTACTCATGGCCATACCATCATCACCTGCAGATAACAGACAAGATTTAGCAGCGCGTATGATATCCAAAGTCAACCCACAGTACATAAAATAGATCACATGAATTTTAGACAACCTCAGCTTATTTCACCTGGTGATTTAATGCCTTAACGCTGACTGAGAGGTTTGCTAAGGTTAGGTTAAATCAAGTTAGGTTAGCTAGCATTATGTTAGTTCGATTAGGTTAGCATTAAGTTACATTCGGTTAGCAATAGGTTAGGTTAGGTTAGCAATAGCTTCCGTTAGGTCAGGTAAGGTTAAGTTAGGTTAGCATTAAGATAAGTTAGGTCAGGTTAGGTTAGGGTAGCATTGCGGGTGTTCAGTCATCAGGGGAAAGATTTTAGGGCGTATAATTTTCAGATGGCCCCATAAAACACATTTCCATGAGACACGAGACAGCGTGTATCTGTGCCTGTATTACAACTTCCAGGAAGACCCAGTGATCATTGCACAGTACCTAAGACGATGGTGTGTGTGTGTGTGTGTGTAATAATAATAATAATTAACGTACTCTATTATTGAAAGAGCTTCAAGCGTTTCGTGAAGGCTGAAAATATACAGTTACATATTTGTGTGAATGCATGAATTACAAATAATATACAAGTGACATAAGTGACACAAACAAGACGTATAGTAACCTAGATGGGGATCAGCTCAAAACTACAGTTCATTTCGCAACATATGACAGTGTAGGAGCAGTTTACTGGGAGTGAATACACTGATTTATTACATGTTATGTGTGTGTGTGTGTGTGTGTGTGTGTGCGTGTGTGTGTGTGTGTGTGTGTGTGTGTGTGTGTGTGTGTGTGTGTGTGTGTGTGTGTGTGTGTGTGTGTGTGTGCGTGTGTGTGTGTGTGTGTCCTCCAACCTTCCGTTCTGTGTATCGTGAATTGTATATTGTGTTGTAGGTATTTTGCTAATATGTTCGAAGTTGTAATACAGAATTATTGTAGAGAGGGAGAGAGAGAGAGAGAGGGGGAGGGGGATCAGAAGACCTTCTCACATGACATCATTGTCAAGGAGGACCTGTTACCCAAGTGTTCCTTCCCGCCTGACAGTCGAATGTGAGGCAATACAACCCTTAACAGAAACAGAAGGGGGAGGATGTTCACGAGAGAAACTTTGGTTCCTACTCACCTGACAGCAAAGACATCCTCCTTGTCAGACTCTCCCTTCCTAAAGCCCAAGTAAGAGTCGAGCTGACCACCACCAGTAGGAGGAAGGCACGGACGAGGAGAAGAGGACGGTACACAGTCTCCATGGTGAGTGACGGGAGGTCCTCAGACAACAGCACACAGCACAGACAGTAAACAACATGACCTTACTTGAAAACACAAGAGAAACATGGTAAACAACTTGACCTTTCTTACATATGCCAGGTAATTTCGGAGCAAATAATGATGTATGTCGTGTGATTGTTGAGCTGCAGGTTGTGGTAGGGGGTTTGTTGTGTGTGTGTGTGTGTGTGTGTGTGTGTGTATAAATAAATCAATAAATAAGTCAATAAAACTTTTAGTAAGTTCACGTAATTCAACCCCCGAGAGAATCAGTAATTACATGAACTTACGAGGGATCTTATGAAATCAACTGGTTACTCAAATTCCCTGTACACACACACACACACACACACACACACACACACACACACACACACACACACACACACACACACACACACAAATTTACATTAAGGTGTTACCGGTCAAATATCAACTACTATATTACAACAGAGACATTTGGGTGAATAGCACAAACCACAGCTAGTTCAAGAGGGAGGGGGGTAGTGGCCAGGCTAGGGAGGGAGGGTAGTGGTATGGGAGGGAGGGAGGGGTAGTGGCTGTGGAGAGGGAGGAAGGGTGAGTGGCTGAGTGGTGAGGGAGGATAGTGACTGGTGGTGGGCACTGGTGGTAGAGGGAGGAGGGTAGTGGCAGTGGCTGAGTGGTAGAGGGTAGAGGAAGTGGCCAGTGGTAGTGGTGGTTGGGCGTGGCTAGTGGTTAGTGGGTGAGGAAGGGGGGTAGTGGCCATGGTGGGGAGGGAGTGGCTAGTGAGTGGCAAAGGGAGTAGTGGCCACAGGAAGGGGTAGTGGCTAGTGGTAGAGGGAGGGAGGGTAGTGGCTAGTGGCTGGGGGTAGTGGCTAGTGGTAGAGGGAGGGAGGTAGTGGCTAGTGGTAGAGGGAGGGAGGGGGAGTGGTGGCTAGTGGTAGAGGGAGGGAGGGTAGTGGCTAGTGGTGAGGGAGAGGGAGGGAGGGTAGTGGCTAGTGGTAGGTGGTAGTAGAGGGAGGGAGGGTAGTGGTAGTGGTAGAGGAGGGAGGGTAGTGGCTAGTGGTAGAGGGAGGTAGGGTTAGTGGCTAGTGGTAGAGGGAGGGGAGTGGTAGTGGCTAGTGGAGGGAGGGAGAGGAGGGTAGTGGCTAGTGGTAGAGGGGAGGGGGAGTGGCAGTGGCAGAGGGAGGGAGGGGTAGTGGCTAGTGGTAGAGGGAGGGAGTGGTGAGGTAGTGGGTGGTAGAGGGAGGAAGGGTACTGGTGGTAGAGGGAGGAAGGGGTAGTGGCTAGTGGTAGAGGGAGGAGGGGTAGTGGTGGTGGGAGGGAGGACGGTAGCTAGTGGTAGAGGGAGGAAGGGTAGTGGCTGGTGGTAGAGGGAAGGGAGTGGTAGTGGTAGGGAGAGGGAGTGGGTAGGGTAGTGGCTAGTGGTGGAGGGAGGGAGGGTAGTGGCTAGTGGTAGAGGGAGGAGGGAAGTGGCTAGTGGTAGAGGAAGGGAGGGTAGTGGCTAGTGGTAGAGGGAGGGAGGGGTAGTGGCTAGTGGTAGAGAGGAGGTAAGTGGGGGAGGGGGTAGTGACTGGTGGTAGGGAGGAAGGGTAGTGGCTGGGGTAGAGGGAGGAGGGTAGTGGCTAGTGGGAGGAAGGGGGGTGGCTAGTGGTAGAGGGGGAGGGTAGTGGCTAGTGGAGGAGTAGTGGCTAGTGGTAGAGGGAAGGAGGGTGGTGGCTAGTGGTAGAGGGAGGGAGGGCTAGTAGTGGTGGGTAGTGGGTGGCTAGTGGAGAGGGAGGAGTGGTAGTGGCTAGTGGTAGGAGGGGTGGGGGTAGTGGCTAGTGGTAGAGGGAGGAGGGTAGTGGCTAGTGGTAGGGGAGGGAGGGTAGTGGCTAGGTGGTAGGGAGGGAGGGAGGGTAGTGGCTAGTGGTAGAGGGAGGAGGTGGGTAGTGGGGGTAGGGAGGGAGGAGGGTAGTGGCTAGTGGTAGAGGGAGGAGGGTAGTGGCTAGTGGTAGAGGGAGGGAGGGTAGTGGTGGTGAGAAGGAGGGTGGTGGCTGGTGGTGAGTGGTGGAGTGGAAGGGAGGGCTAGTGGTAGTGGCTGGTGGGAGGGGAGGGTAGTGGCTAGTGAGGGAGGGAGGGTAGTGGCTAGTGGAGGAGTGAGGGCTAGTGGTAGGGGAGGGTAGTGGCTAGTGGTAGAGGAGCTAGGCAGAGGGGAGGGGGTAGTGGCTAGTGGTAGAGGGAGGGAGGGAGTGGTGGAGAAGGGAGTGGTAGAGGGAGGAAGGGGTAGTGGCTAGTGGTAGAGGGAGGGAGGGGAGTAGTGGCTAGTGGAGTAGAGAGGGAGGGGTAGTGGCTAGGTGGTAGAGGGAGGAAGGGTAGTGGTAGTGGAGGGGAGGGAAGGGTAGTGGCTAGTGGTAGAGGGAGGGGGTAGTGGCTAGTGGTAGGGGAGGGAGGGTGGAGGTGGTTGGTAGAGAGGAAGGGTAGTGGCTGAGTGGTAGAGTGAGGGGTAGGTGGAGTGGTGAGGGGTGGTAGTGGTAGAGGAAGGGGTCTGGAGGGTGGAGAGGGAGGGAGGGTAGTGGCTAGTGGCTAGAGGGAGGGGAGGGTGGCTAGGGTAGAGGGAGGAGGGGTAGTGGTAGTGATGGAGGGAGGAGGGTAGAGTGGTAGAGGGAGGGAGGGTAGTGGCTAGTGGTAGAGGGAGGGAGGGTATTGGCTAGTGGTGGAGGAAGGGTGTGGCTAGTGGTAGACGGAGGGAGGGGGTGGCTACTGGTAGAGGGAGGGAGGGAGGGCATTAGAGGCGGGATGGAGGGTAGTGGTGGAGAGAGGGATGGTAGTGGTAGTAGAGGGAAGGAGGGGGGTTGATGGAGGGAGGGTAGTGGTGGAGGGAGGGGAGGGTAGTGGCAGAGGGAGGGAGTGTTGTGGTGGAGGGAGGAAGCGTAAAGGTGAAGGGAGGGAGGGACCCAGTTTAGCGAGTGTAAAAATATAAGTTGGAACGGATGGGAATTGATTGAGGGAGGGAAGTGTGAGGTTGAGGAAGGAAGTATGAGGGTGAGGTGGAAAGAGTGAAAGAGGGTGGAGGGAAGGCGGGAGGGAGGCGAGGGAGAGGGGGAGAAATGAGAACGCAGGGGGGTGGTAGGTGGTGGGAGCTGTGAAGTTGTGGCCGCCAGTAGCTGCTTGACCACTCTGAGGGATTCGTCGTCCGGATCGCCTGTCACAAGGTAGTGGTGATTACCCGACCTATTTCTCGGGTCAGTTGGCTCTCTCTCTTGCTCTCAGAAATTTTGAAGTTTCATTGTAAAACTCTAATCATGTGTCAGTACCATAAATAAGTGTCGAAATTTTTAATACAAGTTATATTTCATTTATATAGTACGGGTACATAAATTCACGAGTCTTAACGTAACTTAGAATAACAAATTTATCTAAAGTTAGGCTCCACTTATCTTGTATTTATTTCACGTGTTTGTATATACATGTATTGAGTAAGAGTATCATCAAACAAAACATATATATTTCTCTTAATTTCTATTTGTTGGTAACTTGTATATATATATATATATATATATATATATATATATATATATATATATATATATATATATATATATATATATATATATATATATATATATATATATTTACAGTACTCACTCAAAATACGTGCTTAACTATTGAGTTGACAGGGTTTTTCTTATCTGAATGAAGTCTTTTTTTTATTATTTATTGGGCACTCCCCTACAGCCTTGTGCAAGGTGAAGCACAGGAGCGTTTACAGCGCCCAACAGGGAAGCATGCTAAGTTCATGCTTGCCTTTATGTCTCATGAGTTAAGGGCGTAGAAGCATGAAGAGTCAAGGGCATAGAAGCCTGAATAGTCAATGGTTTATGTCATCAAGTTATTGGAAGCTCCAACAACTTGTCCCTGAATACGAATTCGCAACTTTGTATTTACACCAGGTACCTACTTTACTGCTTGGTGAACAGGGACTAATGGGGACTTGGAAGTATGTCCAAACAACTTCCACCGGCCCGGGAATCGAACCGGTGACATCTCGCTTGCGAAGGCTAGAGCGGTACCACTCTACCACCAGCACCCTCCTTTGCATGAAGTGGGCATAGCCAGAATGAAATACCTAAGTGAGACATTATTCCTTAAAGGGCTAAAGGCCTTTGCTATTGATGCGCAGTAATCATGGATGTGATTGGGTCTTGAAAAAAAAATGAGCTGGGGGGTCCGGGGAAACACCTACCCGGAAAGTTTTGACCATATTTAGCTTAATTTCCCAGTGTTACTCATTTCGTGAGCGCCTATTAGTTAAAATACACAGCAGCCAAAATCAAACATGTAAGTTTATTGCAACAATAATTTTCATGCATATAGTCTTAATAATTCCTTTATAAATTTTTGTTGATACTAAATTTGAGTTTGTTTAATATTTTTAATTGTGCACCATTATCGAGAGAACATAAACTAAAAGGTATGCTTTTTTGTCCCTGTATTGTGTGAGAATTCAAATTTTAATAGTTACCGAAGGGATTTATTTCTAATTCACCAGCAACTGGGGTTTCAGTAGCTTATGTAATACTAAAATAAGAAAAATAAGCTGTTCCATGTAATATTCACCCATTTGGTTTTGTTTTAGTCTTAATTTTAATTGCATCAACTAGTTTTATCAGGGGGAGAAAACGCTTCTGATTTTGTTGCTGGAAGGCCTCTCTGCTCTGCCTTGATTTTTGAGCCATTTTTTCACACTGTTATCAATGATTCTAACTGTTTCTTTAACAAAAATTTCCTCTCATTTTCTTCCTGCTGCAACCTCTTCTGCTTTAACATGTTTCTATACCTACTGTTGGAGAGTTTTATGTTCCTACACATCATAGGGTCTCCCTCCTGGGGGACACACACATGCCCTACAGCCCTGACCACCTGGGGGACACACACACACATGCCCTACAGCCCTGACCACCTGGGGGACACACACACATACCCTACAGCCCTGGCCTC